TAATTAAAAAATTTAAATGCACCAGCCGGGAATCAAACCCGGGTCTGTACCGTGGCAGGGTACTATTCTACCACTAGACCACTGGTGCTTTGTTGTGCAAATTCTTTGAAAAGGATGACAGTTTAACCCTCAGCAACCCTTTAACAGTGCAGTTTTGTTAAAGCACATCTATATGTTCCCCTGTGCCTGTGTTGGCAGTAGGATGATACAAGTACATGGGCAGGCATAGCATGCAGACCCAAGTCCGTTTCAAAGGAGCTGTGAGTTGGGTTTGCTACGGATATGTGCCATCACATCAGAGTCCAGTAACACTAATTCAGACAGTGGCAGTTATACTGCAGTTGTTGCAGCAGCATAGCAGAGTATGCATGCTGTGTTGCTGGCTGTTCCGCGATACACATCTCCAGTTAGCAGCACTGACCCAGCACCAATCCGATCATGCCGGGTTCCTCTCAAACCAGGGACAGTGAGCAAGGAAAAGGCCCGACAAATGTGTGTTGGGACAAGGCCATGTGATGCGTGCCGCTATCTTGTTAGAAAGAATACACCAAGCAATTACTCCCTCCATTTCATAATATAAAAACATTTTTGACACTACACTGGTGTCAAAAACGCTCTTATATTACGGGACAGAGGGAGTATCATTCATACATTCATTGCCACCTTTCTTCTGTTGTGTGCAGTGCAGTCATCTTTCTCAGCTGCTGGACAACGGCTCATCAGTCAGTAAACTTTCTTTATGCGGCAAACGATGAGCCTCTCACACAAACGACCAGCACCTTCACAAGGTTGATGAGGAGGAGCGCAACAACACTGGGAACATAACGGTTGATTTGGTTAGACCAACAACAGAGGAGATGCTGACTGTCAAGCTACTACATGGGAGGCACCAGCCTCTTCTTCTTGCTGAACCAGCAAGAAAATGTGACTCTACTAGGGATCATCTAACAGCAACACAACAAAACTACCTAGCATAATACTCCTACCACATAGTACAGATCAGATCAACAGCGACCGGCTCCAGCACCCAGCCTCCCACACGGTCAAGGATAAGTAACAACAGACAGTAAGACAGTAAGCTGGAGTGAAAGTCAGCGCACACACGCACACACACGTACTGGCAACACATCAGGATTTCCCCAGCTCCACACATTGATCACTTGTGGGCACAAGAAAGAAAAGAAAAGGGTGTTTAAGTGGCAGGCAGGCAGATTAACATGGCCCGAAAGTAACTAGCAGGAGCAGCAAAGTGAAAGTGTAGGGTTCACTCCCTACAGTTATGCACAAGGTGGGTTCAGTTCGATAAAGCATGGAGAAGAAATGAACAGGCATACGCGTTGCCGTGTTGGCGCAGGTACACGGGAAGAAAGCCAAGACTCATGATTCACAAAATAGTCATCGAGCACGGATAAAACATACAAGAATAGTTGTTTCAGTAAGAGCTAAACACGGCCTGTAGATAGGAGATAACATGGTTGCAGTTTTTGAAAGCACAACTGCGGTATTCACAGCCCATTACAAAAACAAAACAAAACAAAAAAATGAATGCACCGAGGCAGCAGCCACTTCTTCCTGGACCAGCAAGCAAATGTGACTTGTTCCATTCTAGGGATGTAACAATAAGAGAACCAAACCGCTACCTAGCTTAAGGCGTAGTACAGATCAACAGCAACCTCCTTCATCATTTTTCGCGTTAACTCATGTACCTCTTGCTATCCGAAAGACTTTGTATTTCTATGCATCGCTCTGATGCAGAGGCCAAGGATCTCCCCCTTTTTGAAAAAAAAAAGTAACGGAAAGGGAGAAAGCCCCGTTTGAGAAAACATCAGCAACGACCGTCGCCGTCGTCTTCCTTGAGCTCGAGGTTGCAGCCACCGGTCGAGCTCCGCTGCCTCCCCTCCTCCCCGACGCCGAGCTCTTCCTTGAGCTCCAGGTCGTGGTCGCCGGTGAAGTTTCGCTGTCTCCGCACCCGAGCCCCGCGCCGCCGGTTTTCCTTGAGCAGGCCGAGCTCCATCGCCTCCCTCTCAGGCCCGCGCCGTTTTCTCCACAGGATGGCAAAAACATTTGCAGCTGAAAAGAAAAAATATAGTGGTGAGTGGGCTTCGTCATTGATTTTCCATTGTTTTTGATGTTGCTAAATGTGCATACCGCAACATGCCACCGCCACGGCAGGAGCCTGATCTGGCTCATGCTTGCCGGGTGTGCTTCCATTTCCATTTGGGCACGCTGTAAGCTCGGCCTGCTCCTCTTATGAAGCGGTGGCTATTCCCCCGCCTCCCCGATGTGGGACTAAAAACGCAGGCAGCCGCGGGCGTTCTCTGCCCTCCTTCGTCAGCTACGCTGGTCCAGCAAGCAGGCCACCCAGACTTGTATCCCACGAAGAGAACAAGTGCAGAATGGATCACAGCCCATCAAAAAGGAAGAATGGATCAATGGACATGAGCGCACCCTCTCTCTCTCTCTCTCTCTCTCTTCTGGTGCTCTGTGCTGTATAGCCTTAGTAACTGCCTCAGTGGTGACATGTCATTCTTGCAGGATAGATATGCATATATACATACATGCATACATACATATGTACGTACCCCTAAAAAAGGTTATGCATACACTCTAATTTTATCAACACTAACACTTTAACAGCAGAATACGCGTGTCGGCACGTCGCTAACACGGTAGTCTCATTAGCACCAGATTGAATCCCTGTGAATTCCCAAGAGCCAAAAAAAGAGAGCATAAGCACCAGCTACAGCTCCCTCCCTGCACATGTGTTGGCAGTTTCATCCATACCATACACATAGCCAGGCACAGACACAATGCCATTGCAGCAGCTAGCAGAGTGTTGCTGTTCGAATACAGAAGAACAAGTCCAGTTAGCTGCACTCACCCAGCACCTCCCTCATCAGACAGACAAAAGCCTTTCTCCGCTTACAGCCGAGTGAATCTCCAGTAAACAATGGAACGGAGTGGGGTTAGATGAACAAGACTCCTGCTGTATTTTGCAGCCAAAACTGAGGAGCAGAGCTGCTGACATTCAAAGGTCAAAACCTATCTCAGCTTTCCCCACTGCACACATCTATATCACCTCCACGACTTTTGTGCAGCACTTCACAAGGTGAATCAGGAGGAGCACGGCACGATCGACATGGAACGTAACGGTTAGATGAACAGGACTCGGTATCATTCTGCAGTCAAAACTTGTAGGAGGAGCAGCTGGCTGTCAACAAGCTACCCTACAGGGTAGTGTTTGCTTACCCTGTACCAGAGGAGGCACCAGCCACTACTTCCTGGACCAGCAGCCAAATATGACTACTAGGGATCTAACAGCACCGGCCTTCGACGGTCCAGGATAACTAACAACTGACACACAGTAAGCTGGAGTGCAAGTTACAACACACCAAGGCTGGCTAGCTCATCAGGACTTCCCCAGCTCAGATGACGGCAGGTCCCACACATTGATCACTTCTGGCCAAAAAAATTTAACAAGGAAAAAGTTATTTAAGCGGCAGACATGGCCTGAAAATAACTAGCTGCAAAGCAAATCTCTAGAGTAGAATTCACTCCCCGCAGCCCAAGGTTCAGTTCAGTTGAATAAAGCATAGACAAGAAATAAACAAGCATACACAGGCAGAGTCATGGTTGACAAACTAGTCACCGGGCATGGAAAAAACTACAACAAAAGTTGTTTCAGTAAGCGGTAAACACGGCCTGAAAACAGGAGATAACATAGTTGCAGCACCCAAGCGGAAACAAGATTTGTAGAAAACTAGCTACCGCATCCCAGGGTAAGTTCAGTTAAACATAGCATGCAGGATACATGAACAAACATAACTGTAGAGTTGTTTCAGTAAGTTGGCACGGGTACACGTACAGGAACCCAGGAAGAAAGCCAAGACTGGCGATTGGCAAACTAGTCACCAGGTATGGAAAACAATATAGATCACCAAAATTGGGGGGGTATGCTGCAGCCATATTATTATAAGACAGACAGACAGACTACGCAGAAAAAGAGCAATATCTTTGTATGGAACTGAAGACGTGCTCTGTAAAAGAATAACATGGTATTCATGTTCCTATCCAAATAAGACATGGTTTTCATATAAACAGAAAATAATGAAAAACACTCAGTCCACCTAAAGAAATGACCTGCGCTCATATCACTAAATGACATGATATTGCTGTAATCCATGTGGGCATGCAAATGACTCTGGGAACCATTTAAAAAAAATCAAATAATGCCTCCAGCCCTCGAATGCTCTGCTACAGCCGTACAGGCAGTTAGCGCCCATGCATGCCAGCTATCATGCATATGTGGCTTGGTCCAAAAGTTCAACGGAATATCAGCATACATATTAATCGAACAGCCAGGAATGTGCACCCGCAAGTTGACTAATCTACACAAGCTTCATCCACATATATATATGGTAAAAAAATTGAGGCAAACCAGGCTGGCAACGCTCAAGTTTCAGCAAGAACAAACATAAAAGCTGGGAAAGGAAATTTGCACATTTCCAGAAGTGGGAGAGCTTACCTAATGGTATCTTGTCAAACGCACCACCATATAGGACGCCATCGTCACTGGGAATTCCCTGGTGAAATGAGAAAGCGTTTAAATATCTTACTTAAAGAGATAACGAAAAAAGTATGAATACAGGACAGAAATGCAATGCTGCGAATCGCAGTCAGCGAAGAACAATGACGAAGTGCGGTACTGACAAATGCCAATCAGAGCATGAACAGACTGATTTGGTAATTAACACTTGAGCATGTGACTATATAAGCAAATCATTGGTGAGAAGCGCAATCCCTAGTATTACAGTAACAGTTCCCCTTTCTAGCTAGATGCTTTACTAGCTGCACAAAGAATAATGAACAAAAATGAGGGCACAGATACATTCTTTCAAAACAGCCATCTCACCTGTGCATTGACAGCTCCCATCCCAGTCCACCTATTTCCGGAATGTGGTGGAACCGATGAAGAAGATGCTGGGATGTTAGTCTGATGGTCAGGAAAGCTTGCGGCTTGCTCGTCTTGAGAACACATACGTTCTGGCAGAAAAGTATCCACGTGTAAGGCATCACTTCTGTATAGTGGACATGTTCAAATGTAAAAGATTGCCCCTCTCCCCCCTGAGATTTGCGACAAAATGAATGATGAAAGAAAACTTACTTGGGTTCTAAGAACTCTCTGGTACCAGGCTGCTCTGCATAATCATCATCGTCGTCGTCGTCATCCAAATTAATTATAGGAATCATCATTTGACCACTGTCCAGGCTGCGAAGTGTAGCTTGCCTCTTTGCAGCCCGGTCCATTTGCCCATCCTTTAACTGGTCCCCATCAACTGCAGATTTATTAACTGAACCATCATTTAGTAGCATCTGTTCACCGTTCAGATCACAATGATCCAAGTCATGCACAACTGTAACACGATCTAGAAGCATTTGTTCCTCCTTTATCTGGTGATTAACGTCTGTAGCACGATCAGGTAACAATTGCTCATTCTGCACCTGCTCCTCCGCATCTTGCTTTAGCATTGTTTCCTCATTGTTTATTTGCTCGCCCTCCAGCTGTTGATCACCCTGTCCATGCTCATCGGCTATCTGATTTATAAGCATCTGCTCGCTGTTCTGGTAGTTCCTATCCAAATCATGCATGCCAATACCCTGATTTAGAAGCACCTGATCATCCTCGAACTGTTGGTTTTCATCTGCACGTTTATCTTGAACTTGAGTATCTGGAGGATCATAGTATGCTTGCTGGCTCATCTGACCAACTAAATCAGGCAGAGAATCACAAGCATGTTCTTCAGGAGGATCACCAGGAATCTCAGTCACTTCACAGCTCTCACGAGTTCCGTCGACATTGAGGTCAAAAATTTGATACCAAGCCGGCAGCTCTTCTTCATCTCTAGTAGGATCACCATCAGCAGCTTCAATTTCCATTTGTGGAGTTTCCTCAACAAGTTCAGATTCATGTTCAGTTTGCGGAGCCTCCATTTCACCTGCCACTTGAAGTTCAGTTCCAAGCTCAATTTCCATTTGTGGAGTTTCGTCGACAAGTTCAGTTTCAGGTTCACTTTGCAGAGCCTCCATTTCACCTGCCACTTGAAGTTCAGTTCCAAGCTCAATTTCCGCTTGTGGAGTTTCCTCGACAAGTTCAGTTTCAGGTTCACTTTGCAGAACCTCCATTTCACCTGCCACTTGATGTTCAGTTCCAAGCTCAATTTCCGCTTGTGGGGTTTCCTCGACAAGTTCAGTTTCAGG